TATGAATCCTGGATTTATTGAGTAAGATTATTGCATGAGATTGGTGAGTGACACTTCTGCATACGTTGATATATTCGATACACTGTACTATTGATTCAGTAATCATTATAATGAACTTTTACTCGTTCGTTCAATCGATGCAATTAACAATTGCGTACTTCCGCATCACGTTCTCATTGGTTAGTGTTATGCCATATACCGCAGGTGAATCTGCCATACACCGCAAGTGAATATGCCATATTCGTTGCGGAATATGACAGTCATATATTTGTATCGTGTTTACCGCGTAACAGTGCCTACGCATGGTAGTATTTCAGTCTGAGTATTATGTTTATTTATCCATAATTTTTTATGAATACATGTGAACAAATGATCATACTCAAGCTTCCATGTCATTATAATACGCCTGGTATACAACATTACTGTAGTTCAAATATCAAAGTATTGCGTCAACTATAAAGTAGTTTAATTCGATGAAAACTAAAAATATCGAAATCGACACTTACCGTCCACCATCTTAGATGCGAAGGTTACGGCCGATGTTAAAGATTTCTCGCGATGGATTCATTTGTTTTTCAGTTCATGGCGCATGGTCAGAATGGGGTCAATGGGGTCAAACTTGTAGCGACGACTGTTTTTCAAAAAGGGAACGTCGTTGCAATGATCCACCTCCGAGAAATGGAGGACGAAATTGTGATAACAAAGCTGAAGAGAAAGAAAAATGCTATTCCATCACTCCTAGCAGATGTAGAGGTAAAACATTCCAAGAAAAACGTCAATTCTTTCTTAAGCTTCTGATTTATCACTTGACAAACGCATTTCTGCCAAAAATTAACAAGGCTTGATATACTTAACAGAAATATCTTTTTGGCACCTCGACGATATCTGTTTGCTATATCATTTGCAATAAAATTGTTGTATACATGAAAGAGCAATATGTTGCTGATTGAATGCCTCTGTATAAAATGAAATTTGTGATTTTTTTCTGTTGTAATTAGTATTGTATTGTATTGTATTGTATCTTTATTTCCTCCTTATAAGAAGATTTACAAATTTATAGAACAAAAACAACTTTAAAATTTACATATTACAAAGTAGTTCTGCAATTATCGCAGCGTTTCATAGTAAGTATCTATTTACACCTATTCATATAAAACATATATACGCGCATTGAATTAGCATGATTTAAAGAAAATGTCTATGTGTGCTAAGCCCCTTGCACACGAAAGAATGAACTCGGTAAATTGAGTATCATCGAGTTGAAAGTCAACTCTGCTGCCAAGTATTGTTTCTAAGACTATATTTTCCTCCATGTCGAGTAATTTGACACAATGCTCTACGGACAGGGAGTTGAAAATATAGTTTTCAATGAAATCATTCTTTTCATTTATAAGTTCACCACATTTCATGAAATGTGTGACTATCGAGCCAGTAAAATCTTTGCAACGTTTACATTGATATAACCTAAATCTTGCAGGTGTGGTCAAATACAATATGTGGGCTAATTCCCAAAGTTGCTCGGTAGCCTTTTGACCAAGTGTCCATAAAACCGAAGGTTCTATTGACAATTGTACATTCGAAAATAATGATAATGAATCATCCGCATTTACTCGGGCACGCCATTTTGTTTCTTCATTTAATTTTATTTGATTAGTACACATCATTTTAAATTTTACTTTGGTCATAAGTTGGCCAGATCTGAGAAAGTCTTGAATTGACTCCTGTACATAGTCATACTCCATTGACATGACGTCTTTAATAAGACCATTACAGATTTCATTTTTTTGAACTAAAAATGAGGAGAGTCTATATACGTAGAAACAATTGTTTTGTGAAAACATGAGTGGCTCTGCATAGTCTATCAAAAAACAACACCTTTGCTCTGTCTATATAACTCTCAATTGACAGTAAACCGAGCGTAGAGAGGACAACTTCCGACGAGACGTTTTGCTCAAATCCTTGTATTATTTTTGCAATTTTTCGAATGGTAACGTTAAGTGCGTGTAGTTCTACATTGGATGTTGTCCATAACTCGCAGCCGAACATGGCAGCGGGAAACACAATGGTTTTTAATAGCTTAACGGCAACAAGGGGGTTAATGCCACCTTTGCCAATACCAATAGGTTTGATGGAGTAAAAAATGTTGAGCATTTTACGCTTAGCTTGTTGCATTGCTTCAATGTCAGTTAATTGAGCATCAAGTGTGTTTCCAGCGTAGCACTGCGTTCTGGTTTCAGGTACAATATCATCTTGCAAGTGCCACATGCGCATTCCTTGACTGTCTCTGAAATGTTTAGTACTTTCATTAAAAGTGATGATTTTACTTTTGCTGTTCTGACCAGAATGATATGACATTCTCCATTTTGAGCTATATTTTGATACACTATTTAATAATTTTTGGAGCTCATCTGGAGTTGTGCCAATAATTGTGGTGTCATCAGCCACCAGTACTGCAGGGATGCGCATATCACCTATTATTGCACCCAAGCCTGTATCGCATAGTTCTTCAATAAGAGCATTAATGTACACCAGGAACCAGAGTGCACTACTGACTCGACCTTGACCTACTCCCTGTGTAATTTGAAATTCTCTAGAGTACTTTCCATTATAAAGTACTCTGGAAGTGGTATTTTCATAACTATCGACAATTAAACGCCAACTTTTACCATTTAGCCCCAGATTAAATAGTTTGTGAAACAGGCCCTTCCGCCACAACAAATCATAGGCCTTTTGGTTATCTAAAAAAGCAATGTACAGTAAGCTCTCTCTCTCAGAGTAAAATTGAATAAGTTCCTTAAGGACAAACACTGCGAATTGGCTACACGCGCCTTCTTGGTATGCAAATTGCAGATTGTGTGGACACCCTTGAAGCTTCAATATTGGTATAGTTCTGTTTGTGAAAATTCTTTCCCAGACCTTAAAAATACAAGACGTCAAAGTAAGACCTCTAAAGTTGTCTCTATCCATAGGATCTTTGCCCTTTCCCTTAAACAAGGAGATCATAATACCTATTTTGAAGCTTTGTGGAACTTTGCACATGCTTACCATTGCATTAAAAACCTTATTAAGAAAATGTAATACGTCAGAGCTACTGTACTTAAGATGCTCGATTGTCACAAGATCATAACCAGGAGACTTGTTATTTGAAAAGGTAGCAATGCTTTGTTCAATTTCGGATACGGTTATTGGATTTTCGAATATGCCGTCATTATTAGAGAGCGACTGTGTCATTAAATAAGGATGCTCGTGATCAATGAGATTCTTGAAATTGTCATCGAAATGTGGCATGGATAATTCTGTACCAAGTGTTTCAAAATGGCAAGCCCATAATTCCCGAATTTGATCTGGATCGCGTATAATTTCAGTGCCAAGTCTGAGTTCATGACCACACGGTTTCCTACCTTTAGCCTTATGACTGTTTAACATCTTATAAAAAAGGGCGCTGTCACATTCAGCAGCAGTTTGAAACTGTAAAATTTGCTCATTTTCGTATTCTAATTTGAACTTTCTCATATGTCTTCTAAAATGTCTCTTTTTAAGTTTGTACTTAAGAAAAGAATCGTGATTGAGACCACGTGGTCTTCCGGCTTGTATCCAAGCAACACGCGCAGTCCGCATTTCTGCATGAAGGATTTTTAAATCTCCTTTATTCCAAAAGGGCTTTAAGTATTTCCGGAACCGAGATCTCGGAATGTGTTTGCTGCTGGCATTGACAAGAGTATCAGCAAGAGCACGAACAGCTGAATCTAGGCCACCAATTGTGGTGAAATCGGCAGTACTTGTTATTTGTGACAATTGAGTTTTAATATCATTGGAGAATAATTGTTTCTGTATAAAAGTGGCTTTGCGCCATCTAGGTATATTCCTAGCCTCGCAAGAATAGTCGATTAGACTTAGTGGTAGTGACATATTAACATTCATTATAACTGGGTGGTGATCAGACACATTGTGTGGATGATCATCAATAACTCTACATTGTTCTATGATATCGAACTTGTTTGTAGGTACAAATAAATAATCGACGCATGACGAGGCATTATTGCGAAAAAATGTGTGTTTGGGGCCCGTTGTAAGATTTTGAGCATTAACGGCTAAAAGGTTTGAATCAAAGACCCATTTTTCTAGCAATAGTCCCCGGTCATTTGCCAAATCACATCTAGGTCCACTTTTCGAACCGAGGTGACCGTTGAAGTCACCGGTAAACATGATTGTTCCCAAAGACGAATAAGTGCAATAGAGACTATACAGATGATCTATCCAGTCAATATATTCATTTATTGGATGATTTGCCGAAGGCATGTATACAGCAAATATGAACAAACTGCAGTTACCCTCTGTTACAATTTCTATGCCACATATTCTGTCTTCAATGCTAATTTTGTTTCGCACAATGAGAGATTTATTGTACAGTATTGCTATGCCACCATGACCTCTTCGCACAGCGTCATCGACGGAAAGGTCTTTTTGTGATATACCATGTGAATCATAATTCAAATCAAGAGTGTTTAGGAAACTTAAATTGTCTGGGTACAACCAATGCTCAGTTAAGGTAACAATATGATAGTTGGGCAGAATGTTCGTAAGAAAAGGACTACCATACATTATACCCTTACAATTCCAAGTCATGACGCTGAGTGACTTGTCATTTAGTGACATAGTAATGTAGATAAAAAATATGCAGTATCAGATATAAGGACAGGTTCATAGGCAATACATAGATCCTTGGTACAAGTCATCTTGGTATTGGTCGTTGTCCCAATCCTCGTCAGACTGACTGATGTTGCCTTTATTGTAATACTGAGAATCACCTTCCTGAGCATTTTGTGTTCTCTTTTGCTCATATTCAAAATGAGAAACATACGGTCTGGATTCGATTAAGGTCGGCCAGAAATGTTCATTCAGTGCTTTTGCGTAATGACTGGCTAAAACATTTACTCGTATTAGTAGCCATTCTCCATTGAATGATGTTTTCCTTGACATAACCTTAAAACCAGTGACAGTTACACCCCTTTAAGTGCATAATTAACAAGGTGCTTTCGAAGCGTGTTGTATGGTTGTGATTTGACATGAGCAAGAACAATCTTTTTTGTTCGTGTTCTACGCACACGTACTCCGACAAAGTCATCATCACTATTGCAACTGGCATTATCAGCATCCAAGTTAGCTTTTGTTATGGCTTGGCGATGGGGCCACATCTGGGATTGTCGAATATCGGTACTTGTCCTGTCGGTACCACCGGACGATGTAGTGCGCGTAGCTGTGTCACGTGCGTTGCTTAAAGAAGTAGATTTTGGTGCGCTACACCTTACAGGAATATTGCGTGCGATGCTTGTATTCTTGCTAGTAGCTGCTTGGGACATGGTGGGTGTATGAGATGCACTGCATTCAATAGAAACATCGGATGCGCTACAGGTGACTGCCCCACTATTGGTTTTAACTGCAGAAGTACAGGTAGCAGTTGGTGCGCTGCATGTGCTAGAAGCACTAAGCGTAATGGGCGTAGCGGGAACATTCGAAATATCCTTTGTACTTGAAGCAGAACATTTGTTGGCTCCAGTGGGTACAGTGGGAGGATTTAAGGGTATTCCCCACACACTTGTGGGTACAGCTGATGTGTTATTCAAGCTACCGCTTGTATTTGGGGGGCCACTTAAAGACCTGGACCTATCTTGCACATTATCGTTGTTTGAGCTTGGAAGTTGCTCTTGATTCATTGTGATAGCTACACTGCGAGAAGAGGACTTTTCCAATGCGCTTACTTTGTTTTGTATTGTCTGGATTTGCTTTAAAAGCTTTGTTTTTGTTTCATTGATATCTGTTGTGAGTTTGTTTATGTCTGCTTGTTGATCATTGATTTTTGCCTTCGCTATCTTTAAGTCATTTTTTAACTTCTGTTCGCTATCCTTGCATCTGTTAAGTTCATTCTGCTTTATTTCAATTACATTATTGAGTTCTTTTACTTTTGATTTTGTAGACTTTGCGATTTCAGCCTTGAGTTCATTGATTTCAGTTGCAACGTTAGATTTGAGTTCAAGAACGTTTTTAAGTATAATTGCTAGTTGGTCATCACTGTTTTTGTGTCTCATTGTAACATCGATAGGGTTGTGAACAACTGATTTTCTGTTTGTCTTTGCCTTAGGATTTAACAGTGTCTTAATATCCGACAGGTTAGAAGCTCCATTGATGAAATGGAAAAGATGATATATATCACATGCCAGCTTTTCTTTAACAGAAGTGCTTGTTTGTTTGTTTTTCCTACTGGGTAGACGACGAATAAGCGCACCTGGTGGCATGGCATTGCTGCGATTGATTCGTGCATAATCAAATAAAGCATCTCTGGAATGAACTTATCCGTCTACATCTTGGTGGTCGCATAGTCTTTTAATGAATAACGCTTTGTCTGCACCGGAACACAATTCTTTAATTTCATTAATGATATCATTTTCGGTCTGGGTAGCTATTGGGGTGGGATTTAAATCATCATAATCACTGAGAAAATCACCACTAGTTGATTCCATACAATTGTCACTATCATTTGTGGAATCGTCATCAATTTCTATATCTGCAGGCACATGCACTTTGGTAGAAAGTGGCATTGTATCAGATTCTGGTAAAAGATTTGCTGTTTTGCGTCGCTCAAATCAAAACATAAAATTCCGAGGTTGTCGCGACCTTGCTAGGTAAGAATAGAGCGAGTAGGGCTCCAAAGATGTATAACTAGTCTATTATCAGCGCGTACTTATACACTAAGTGTTCAATTAGCGAGTTATTTATTTATTTATTTATTTATTTATTTAGCCTCCAATACTGAAGAATAGTTTGACAATTAAAACAATCTTACACTACACGGGGAAGGGCCACACGTCAAATGGCGGGAAATTCTTGCATGGCTGTGGTGTGAAAGGCCCTGAACATGTATAATCAGATTTTTCACTATGGTGTAAATTCTGTGTCAAAAGTTTACAGACATAATTTCGCAATTTAGGTGCACGAAAATGTACGATTTCGTGTGCTCTTTATTCCAGACGCTCTAAAAGCGAACGCTCTCCATTCCTGACGCTAATGTTCTATTCCAGACGCTATTTACCTATTCCCGACGCTATCTATTCTGGACGCTCTGAAACCGAACGCTATCTATTCAGGACGCTCCATTCTGGACGCTCACTATTAAACCGGACGCTATCGATTCCAGACGCTCTATTCCAGACGCTCTATTCTGGACGCTATTAAACCGGACGCTATCGATTCCAGACGCTCTATTCCAGACGCTCTATTCTGGACGCTATTTAACCGGTCGCTTTCAGCAATCAGGACGCTCTATTCTGGACGCTATTTAACCGATCGGTTTCTGCAATCAGGACGCTCTATTCTGAACTCTACTATTTAACCCGACGCTTGTATTCAAGACGCTCCATTCTGGACGCTCGATGACATTAACCAAAAGCTCTCCACTCTTATTCTGATTGATATATTATGAACGTATTGCATTAACCCCGACCTCAACATATCACATCAAGGGCAATACAATATTAAACACGCGCTTCTATCATATCGTAGTAAAGTTTCGAACATTTTCAAAAGATGGGGCGTATATTAGCACTTTTGATATTAAGTTTACGAATTTAATTTATAGATCATGAACGTAAATTGCATTAACACTGTCTACAACATCTCACATCAAGAGCAATGAAGTATTTAACGAGCACATCTTACATATCATATCATTTGTTGCGGTAGACCTTCGGATTTGTTTTGTTTAGTAACATTACATAATTGGATTAGCTCAATATATGTAAGCTAGGGGTGGTAGCATATATTTTAAAATGGCTATGGCAATCATTGGTAAAAAATCTTAGGAAATATATGCCATTTTCCTGGGGCTAGTTTACCCACAAACGATTTATTTTGAGCAATTTAAATGCATACTCAACTATTCGACAGATATGCTACTTTGAAATTAAGAACATAAATAAACATACTTTTGCTTTTTTAGTCATTTATTCATGGAACAAATCTCACGTTACTGCCAACTCGAAAAGCTAGTTTCGCATTCGTCAGGTCTAAGGTGGATAAATGGGTTTTTGGTGGTTCAGGTGATTTGTTTAATGTTTCAGCTTTCCTGGTAGGTATATGTATTATGTTGGTAGTATATCTTGTTGTTGAGATATTAACTTAAATGTTCCGTTTAGTGGTCCGTATTTCAAATATTTCGATTTTATTGTATTTGGTTTTTATCAAATGGGTGTATTGGTTAATTGTATTGGGGTATGGACAGTTCGGTGTTGGTTCGGTTGTTTTGTTCATTGCGCTTCATTGTCATGTGTATTTTGTGTTGATATCGTGTGTGTTCGAAGAGGCATTAACTTGTTCGTGTATGGTTGTATTTTTTATTTTTCCGCATTTTGCGATATTTTCGATTTGTTAAGTTGGTGTGAGTTTGACTGTGTCTCGGGTAGGTCTATTGTGTGTAAATTACATTTTGGTGGTTCAGGAAATCTGCTTGATGTTTTAGCTTTCAGTTGGTATATGTATTATGTTGTTAGCATATCTTGTTGTTGAGATATTAACTTGAGTGTGGGGTATGATGGTCCGCTTTTCAAATATTTCGATTTTCTATATTCGGTTTTTATCGAATGGGTGTAATGCGTATTGGTTAATTGCATCAGGGTATGGTCAGTTCAATGTTGAGATTTAATTTGTTTGTTTTGTTCATTGTTTTAGCTTCATGGTCAGGTATATTTTATGTTCATATTGTGCGTATGAGAATAGTTGTTAACTTGTTCGTGTTTGGTCGTGTTTTTGGTGTTTTCCGCGTTTGCGGTATTTTCGATTTGTTAAGCTGGTGTGAGTTTGGTGGTGTCTAGGGTGGGTCTATGGTGGGTGAATTGTTTTTTTATTGGTTCAAGTGGCTTGTTTAATACTTTAGCTTTCTATTGGTGTGTGTATTATGTTGGTGGCATATCTTGTTGTTGAGATATTAACTTGAATGTAGGGTTTAATAGTCAGAATTTCAAATATTTTGATTTTCCCATGTTTGTGTTTTATCGGAAGGGTGTATGCGTATTGGTTAATTGTGTCTGGCTGTGGTTGTTTTATTGTTTAAGTTTGGTTTGGTTGTATTGTTTTTCTTAAGCCTCTATTGTGAGGTATTTTTGTGTTGATAGTGTGTGTGTTGAGGGAGTTATCAACTTGTTTGCGCATAACCCTTTTTTGGTTTGATCTGAGTTTTGTGGTGTTTTGGTTTGTGTATGTGGTGTTGGTTTGGTGGTGTGTGTAGTACGCATGTGGTGGGCTAATTTATTTTTCGATGGTTTGGTTGTTTTACGATTTGTTTTGGCTTCGTGTTGCTGTGTGTGTTGTGTTGGTGGCATGTCTCGTTGTTAAGATATTAACTTGATTTTGGGTGCCGTCTTCCCGTTTATGGATATTCTTGTTTTCCGTGTGTTGCGGAATTGTTGTCGGTTTTATAGAAAGATGTCGCTCTTTGTTAATTCGTTTGGTTACAAGGGGCGATATTTTTTTAAGATTGGTAGTAAGGTTGCTTTCGGTGAGTTCGAAGTGTACACGCATTGTTCATGCAGTCTGTGAACAAGTGGTGAGGGGTCTCTGAATGGGGACCTGGAAGACATAATCTAGTCGCCTTAGTTTCCCTAAACTATCGCATGTCTAATATGTGACAAGAGTAGTATATGTCAGTAAATAAGGCGTAAGATACTAGTATTGTTCGTATACCCTAGAGATAATATTGTTTTTGTTTTGGGGGTAAGGTTGCCAAACTTCCCCTAACCACCGTTAGTACTCATGTGACGGGTAGTCTATATTTGGTAGATCCTAGCTATAGTGTAATGACGTTGGTGTGGTATTTTCTATCTTAATGATCATTTACGTAGGAGAGACAATCTGAACCCGGGATTTCGAACATGAGAATATGAGATGGAACTGTCTGAATGGAATACATAGGCCTGACAAATCAGATCAGAGGGGCAACCCCCCCCCCTGGAGTTGACTTTTTGTTGATATGAAAAATGCATTTGTATTAACAGGGTACCTACTCACTCATCAACTTCATGTTAAGGCTCCTTTTTAATATGGCACATACCTCATCAACCCCCTACGTAGGCTTTACTTTTAATAGGGTACCTATCCCCACAAAATTATAGATAAATCCATGGGCTTTCAAAAGCTTTTGAAAGCCCATGATAAATCTAATTTCAAAGTTATTCAATTTATGAAAGCGTCTGGTCTGGAACAGAAATCTCAATGACTAAGATAAACAAATCGAGTTCAATGCACGAGAGGTTTATCCTTACAGGAAATAAACAAATGGCGTGTTTTGATAACTTATTAAGAATAAACCCCGGGAATAAACAGTGTATCTGATTGCTAAAAACTTGGTAAATGAATCAGTCCATGTACGTTTTACCTAAATATAATAAACTAGATACAAACTATTTCATTAAAAGTAAATAATTAAAACATAAGACGGGATCATATCAGAATTTCACTCAGGGAAATAAGAAATGTTTTCTTTTGGCAAATTATTGGGGATTATGAAATTGTCTCTCCAAATAGCTAAATATCTGCAACTTTGTCTCATTTGCTTGTTTTCCTCTTTTATGAAACAGCATCGTGTGTTAATTTATTATAGCTCACCACACATCTATAAAAGTTTTTTTATTTTGGCAAATCAATTTCACATTTATGGGTGAAGTTTCGAGATCTTCCATTTGTGTACGAGAGGAAAACTTAACATCCAAATTCCCAGTAAATACCCCCATAACGTATTAGTATACAGCTTGGCATATGAAATATTCTCCAAATGAAACAAAGCAGTTCTAAGAAGGACTTACATGTATGTTGGCCGTTGTACATGTATTCTTTGAACAACCACTCTCTCAATAATGTTTTCAGAATCATTATAACGGATTACTTTATCTCCAAGACAATTTCAACAAACTGGAATTTACAAAACTTCCCTTATTTCTTAAAAATGGACTGGTCCAGTTGACTCACCTGGAGCCGCTATGTTGTTAGCTCACATGGTGAGCTATTGCAATCATTCGCTTGTCCGTTCGTCCGTCTGTCTGTCCGTCTGTCCGTGGACAAAATTTCCGGTTTAGTTTTGGGAGTGATGACTTAGACCCTGTCTTGAGACATCACCCGTTGTGAACACGCATTAAGTCATGCAATCTGTGTCAAATGGTGAGCGGTCTCATTTAGGGGACCTGGGAGACATACCTGTAGTCTAGTGTCTAAGCTTCCCCGAACCACCGTCAATGATTATGTGACAGGTAGAGTATATTAAGTTGAGCCTAGGATGGTGACATTGGTAGTGTCACTCCTATTGCCATTTTTTGTAGAGAAAGGCCGGACATACCGATCTTTTTTTTCTTTTTTTATTGGATCTTACACATACATCACACATGATATACACACATGTTCACATAATTCTTTTACATTTTACAAATAGGTACTGTTTTAACAGCTCATCACCATGTATGAGGATTTCCTAACAATATGGTTTACAAATGTTTACAGCATAATGTACAATGGTCTTCAAAAACATATAGATTACCACAGTTTTATAATATATAACTCCATACCTTAAATATAATACATACCGTAGTTATTGGCTTAATATGTTCAATAAACGATCTCCAAGTATTGAAGGTTTCTTGCATACCATTTGAATTTGCAATCCAATGTTCTGTTCATCTTTGATTTTATATTTTATGATTTCCTTTGTTTGGATAAAGGTGATTTTAGTTT